TCTGCATGCAGGTGCAGAGGACCCCTTTAAAAGACAGACCCCTGCCCATTTACACTGTCTCTCTCTCTACTCTCTCTACTCTTCTCTCTGCTCTTCTCTTTTACCACCTACTCTCTCTCCTCTCTCTCTCTCTCTCTCTCTCTCTCTCTCTCTCTCTCTCTCTCTCTCTCTCCAGCCATGGCGGTCAGCCATTAACCCTGTTTCTCTTCTTTCTTAGTCTCCCTACTCTGCCATAATAAACTGCTTAATATGTCTAATAGTCTTGTGTCTCATCTTGGGCCTCCTCGTCTTTATTTCTAATTTAAACAAAAATCTAACACCTAGCTTGGGTTTTTGAAACTCCAAAGCCCACCCCCAGTGACACACTTTCTCCAACAAGGCCATACCTCCTAATCCCTCTCAAGTAGCCTGGGCCATTGTCATTTAAACCACCATACCTACTTGGGCACATTCATCAAAGACAAGCAGAGCCAGTATAATCAGGTTTTTCTTTGGGCTGCCAGCTCACAAATAACAACACAGAGACTTATTAATTATGAAAGCTTGGCCTTAGCTTAGCCTTGTTTTTAACTAGCTCTTATAACTTAAAATAACCAGTTTCTATTAATCTACATTTTGTCACATCCCACCCATCCTGCTTCCTTCATGTCTTCTCGTGTCTCTTAGGTACCTAGATTCACCTACTTCCTCTCTTTCTGCCCAGAAGTCCCACCTATACCTCCTGCCTAGTTATTGGCTGTTCAGCTCTTTATTAAACCAATCACAGCAATATGTCTTCACCCAGTATACAAATATTCCACAACATGTCAATGTCTTAGAGTTTCTATGGCTGTGAAAAAACCATGACCAAAGTAACTTGGGAAAGAAAGGGTTTGTTTCAGCTTACCTCTACATCACAGACTATCACCAAAGGCAGTCAGGGTAGGAAGGCAAGGCAAGAAGCTAGAGGCAGGAGCCCAAGCAGAAGCCATGGAGTAATATTGCTTACTGGCTGGCTTCCTATAGCTTTTTCTGCTTGCTAGTTTATAGTACCCAGGACCAGTAGCCGATGTAGTACTACCCACAATGAGCAATGTTTTCCCAAAATAACCATTAATTAGGAAAACGCACCACAGGCCAGTCTGGTGAGGGCATTTTTTTCAACTGGGGTTTTCTATTCTCAATCAACTCTAGCTTGTATTAAGTTGACATAAAACTAGCCAGGCCACCCTCCCAAAGTTACATCCAGGGCTAGATTGGACAAAGAGACAAAATACTCTTTAAATATTCACAAGGAGATTGCCTTGTGCCTGTGATGAGTATGTGGGGTGCACTGTTTGGGGGCAAACCCAGTCTTCATAGCTCTATTATGTTGTAAACACCAGGGCCTGATTCTCAGCAGTCTGTCCTGTGGGTGCAGGGTTAGAATGAAAGGCTGCTAGCTCGCATCCATAGAGGTACCCTGACTTTCCCAGCATGTCCTACATATGCAGTAAGTGAATGATTCTTCTGGCATCCCAAAGCCATCAGAAGCATCCCAGCATCTACACTGGGGATTCTAATGACTACATTCTACCAGTCAAGAACCATAATCAACACAAATCCCACGGGCTCCTGTATTTATAGGCATGTTTGTGTTTCACTGTAATCTCTCTCCATGTGGCCATTCATCCTTACAGAGATTTGGGGGTTCCTGACATGACAACATAACAGGTTTTTTGAGGCTGGTGTTCTGAAGTCAGGTGAGGTCATTTGTATATATTCTGTTAATCAAAGAAGTCAAAAGTCCAACCAGGTCCAAGGACAGGGAAAGCAGACAGAGCACGATAGTTCAATGGAACTATCAGACAGCAGTGGGAGGGATCACTGTAGTGTCTTTACAAACACTCTACCATAGGCCTCTTGCTTTATGCTTATAAGAAGGTGCCTTGGTCCACACTTAAGATGAAGTACTGACTCCAAGATGGTAATGATAGCACAAGTAGATGCTAGAGCTACTAAAAACTAAGCACATGCCGTGCATCTTGGGGGCCACAACCTACCTCCAGAGGACAGATTTTTTTCAGCAGCATTTTTCCAAAACCAGCATGTCAGAAGACACAACTATCTTAGAGAACATGGTGACAATACTGAATAAAATTGGAGTTGTGTCTACACAGTAGTAGCATCAATGGTTGGCCTCTAGAAATTCTCAAGTACTGACAAGAAAGTGAGGACGTGAGTATACAGGAGCATTGTTCCAAACAACAAAACACTGTACAACCTACTGTTGTTAACACTGGCAAGCATAAACTCAAAATTTCACTCAAAGGACTGCTGTACAATAAATAAATGATATAGATGTATCAATGTAAATAAATTTTAGAAATATAATAGTCATCAAAAAGAAGAAAATCGAAGGAGATGGGGGGCAGGCATGGCACTGGAGTGGTGGCTGAGAGCTTACATCGGATCCACAAGCATGTGGCAGAGATAGAGAACACACACTTGAAACAGCATAGGATTTTGAAACCTCATAGCCCACCCCCAGTGACACACCTCCTCCAACAAGGCCACACCTCCCAATCCTTCTCAAATAATTCCACAAGCTGGGGACTGAACATGAAAACATAAGAGCCTATGGGAGCCATTCTCATTCAAACCACCACAAGATCTTTATATGAAATAGACTGAGGTTGTCACTCCATCCACTCCCTGCTGCCAAAGAATGAGGATAGCTTATTTGAGTCACCATTGCCAAATATCATAGCTGTACTGCCCCTAACCTGAGATCCATAACAGGGTGGGTGGGTGGTGCTGGGGGTGGAACTCAGAGGAAACACACTTCCCTGGCACAGGTAAAACCCTTGGCTCAATTTAAAATAATGGAGATCTGTAACAATGCATAAACCCTCGGTCATGGCCTCATTTAGCTGACTCCTCCATAAATCTGTCAGGGGACATAATAAGCACAAGGTAAGAGGGAGATATTTACAGAGGGATCCAGGACTCAGATCAGCAGGGCTCTCTCTGGGTCCAGATCTTAGCTCTGTCTGCCTTTGACCAGAGGAAATCAGAACTGCGAAGACTCACAGACTCACACCCTTTCCGCCTGTGATCTTAGAGATGAGGAGAGGAACTTCTCCAACACCATTAACACATCCACTCTCCTGGAAGGATGCTTTTGGACACACTTAAGCCTTCTGCTCACATCTGGATCCACCATTAAGAACAGAGAAGAGGGTGTTATGATGGCCAAGGACTCGGGCAGTGTGGCTTTGTAAGGGAGGAGAGGGTGCTTGCTGTTAACCTGAGGAAAGGAGCGGGCGAGACTGGGGACAACAGTGCATGTCAACCCACAGTATGGATGCTAGAAAGTCCGATTCTTCCAAGTCTCTTCCAGCACAGAGACATATCCAGTGACGCGTGTTCTGTCCTCTGCCAGCCACACCATCCTCAGGATGTATGTGGACAGCTTGTGAGGTAGGGAGAGAGATAGCCTCAGACAGAAGAACAACGGAGGTCCCTGCCACTGTTTGGAAGGCTAGGGTGGGGAACAGCATGAAGCTTTAGCTCAAACTGCTTCTTGTCCCCCAGTGACACCTCCTCTCTTTATTCCTCTTTCATTCACCTACTGTCTCCCTAAGGGTTTGACCTCCAGGCTTTAACCCTCCTTGGTGATGGTTAATTATATCCCTAGCTTCAGAGTGCCTGAGTCTCAGGATGGAAGAGCAACGAACGCCAAGAACATTTGTGTTAACCTTGACTGAGAAGCACCGTACAGAAATCCTAAACACGTCATTAGCAAAACAAATGTGGGTTGCTAATACTTGACTATTTTTGACCGACTAAATCCCAGCAATTTCATGTACGAAATTTCAGGTATAAAAACAATTCTACCCAGTTAGATTTAACACAGAGACACAAAGGGAGCTTAGCATTTCATATAGTCATTTTAATATGCCATGTTATTTTGGCAGTAGATAGTGAGTTGGAAATATATAACTTCAATTTTTAAGTAGACTGGAAGGAGAGAGGAAATATCCTTAGCCTAGTAAAAAACATAGCACCAAACTTAATGATAGAATATCAAAACTATGAGCAAATCAAAGGGAGGAAGCCAGGTTCTCCTTGTGAGAAGGAAAGTCCAGACAGTGCAGGGAAGCCCAGAATGGACTGAGTGATCCTGGGATAATCAGAGGCAGCAGAACAAACTCACGTCAAGCTTAGTGATGTTCAAATGGGTAGATACAGACATAACTGTAGTTCTCACATAAGCATGGGTGAGCATTTTGTGTTGTGTATGCTTAGTTCTTTCTGCTGAAATCGAGCAAACAGTGACATTCCACCCTAATGTGTGCATACCTTGCACAGATCTTGGCTTCCAAACTGAGAAATGATCAGTTTGGGGACAGGAAAAACACAGATGGACCTAGAACATATTATATTGTTTTTAAAAAGAAAGGAAAACAAACATATAGAATGGATGCTAGATCATTTATGTAAACGTTTCATGCTGGGGAGGTGAAACTTAATCCTCCATCCCCAGTCTCCCTTGCTGCCCCTGACATGCACACACACACACACACACACACACACACACACACACACAGTGCAGTTTCAATGGAAAGGTACACAGTATTCATGGATGGGACAACCACATCCTAAAGGTATTGCTTTCCTGTGAATTAATATGTAACTTGGTCGAAGTTCCTTCAAAAGCCCATTCAAGTTTCACCTGGTAGCTCCCTCCCACCAAGACCAGGCCATGGGAAAACAATGTGAAGCAATGCATAGCAGAAACAGCCTCAGCCACTCTTTGCTATCACCCCCCCCCCTCGTGATGTAACTGTGCTCAGAGTTAAGTTTTGAGTTTGGCCTATGACAGGATTTTGATATCAGCTGGGTTCTATGTTTTTAACAGAGTTGCCAAGGAGAAAATTAGCCCCTCTTACTTCTATTGCTCTGGAACCAAATTCTCCATTATGCTGGGTTCTGGGTAGCCAGGACATCATAAATAACACCAGCAGTGGAAAACTCACCTTCCATTTCGTGAGTTTTTAGTTCAGTTGTTCCCTGACCTCATCTCAGTTCTCTCCATCACTCCACCACTGGGGATAGTGTCCGCAGGGAAACTTGCATTCTGAGAGGTGCATTTCATCCTCTTCCAAGATGGAAAAGCAGGTTCATTGAAGAGGAAAGAGCAAGCACTCACCGCCAGCTTTCCCCTGGACAGAAGCTGTAAAAGACATCCAGGAAGAATCTAGTGGGAAGATGACTCTGAGGCTGGAGCAGAAGTTTATGGCTGCGGTTCATACCTAGAGTCGCCCTATGTCCCACCCTGAGCCGGGTCAGCCAGCTTCCTCCTGCTTTGAAGTCTTCAGGGAGCTCCATGATGCAGCTCAGGTGAGACAACAATCTGACGCTGCACCCATGTGCACACAACGCCAGCTAATATGCAAATCATTTTATGTTATTTGAACCTAACTACCCTGTGATTACCACCACCAAAAAGTGGGGAATATATTATTTTGTAGGGAGGAGGCAAATCCCCATAACTAGTAAACATAGAAGCCCAAATTTACAAGAGATTAAAAACAAAATCTGCCCTTTGAGCACTCCCTGCATCCTTGCTTTCCTGTACACTTGTGCCTGCACTGACCTTCAAACTCAAGTTCAGAAATGGTCAGGATGTCTGGCAGAGGCAAAGATCTTAAAGAAGACACAGAAGGACCAAGGGAGGGTCTTTTGGTAACTTAATGAGAAGTCTTTCTAAACTAGGAATTGCAAAGGGCAGCCAGTGACCCCTCTCTGCACACCAGAAGGTCCATGCAGTGAGCTACTGCCTGGCCAGGCCACTGCTGACACCTTGTGGTGAAGAAATAGCCCTGTTAGTTTCCTAGATAGCCAAGGGGCCAAATTGTTAGCAATCCACACACACACACACACACACACACACACACACACACACGGGAGGGGGCGGGAGGGGGTTGATCCTGTGTTTCCAGGTTCCCCTTGCAAACCCTGTAGCTGAATCCACAGTGCTAGGACTGTTGATGGCTGGTGATTCCCCCACCCCCAAAACACGGTGGGGTCTGCTGGATTTCCTCTGGGCAGGAGCTACCCAGCTCTGGCCAAGGCCAGAGCAGCAGTCACATGCCCCCTAGGTGGCACCTGCTGCTAAAGGGAGAAGCCCACATATTATGGCCCTCTCCAAACAATGGACAGCTGAAATAAAGACTTACACAAAAGTCAGCCTGGGCTAGACACTTGAATAGCGGGTCCATTTGGGGCTTCTGTCTCTGCAGCCATAGAATTTGAGTGGGCTTGAGAAGGAGGTCAGGGGACACCCTGCAGGACATAGGTCATGTGGCAGGTGGCCTTCTGTCAACCCCATTAAGGCAAATGACACTTTAAAGGCAGAAGTCACCAAGGGACTTGTTTTGATGGCAGCAAGGAAAGCACTTGTAACTCTAAAGAGGCGCCATTGACAGAGCAAAGGGGCGCCAGATGTCTGAATGCAGAAGCATCTAACAGTGGTGCCTTGTCGTTTTGTAAATGTGGCACACACTAATTTGAGTTCAAGGCACCGTTAATATTCTAGTGGGGACCACCAGCATGGCTGTGACTGGTTTAATTAATTACCTTGTAAGAATTCAGTGTGAATTTATCTGAAAGCATCATGATCGCTCCTATTAGAGCAAGGAGTCCAGATCCTGGTTCCTCAGGTAGAAGATGAACATTCTGGATTTCTTAGAGTGGCCTGTGAACATGCATGTGTCATGAACACACACAGTCTTATTAGAAGGGGCAGGAAGAATCACGAAACAGTGGCAAAGATCTGGCTGAGAACTGTTGCGTAGGAGGTCTCACTCATGGTAAGATCTTTGCCCTTGAAGGAGCTCACGAAGCACCACTCAGAATGGATACAAGTAAATTAAAAAGTGGAGAGAGTTGGTAACCGCCTGGGGTAACTAGGGTGTCACAGAAACAGGGCTAGTGGAATTGAGTCTGGAAAGAAAGGCTTGCCCTGTGCAAAGTGACGCTGACGGAGGACAGAGGAACCTTGCATACCTTGTCATCAACATGTGACTGTGCCTC